GCCTCTATCAGTGTTATAGCGAAGAACTCTTTATGCTACGTTGAAGTCCTTTTATGTTGAAGAAAATGTTTTTGTTAAAGGCTTTGCACGTATCTTGTATGGTTTTATAACGTTGTTGATAGTAACCATACTACGAAATGCCACTCCAACATAGGAAAGTGTTTCAAATTTTGGATGGCAAGCGATAATTCCAATAAACTATGCTCGACTAAGATTCTCTTTGGCAGTCAGAATTTCAAGTTGTGTTTGCTACAGATAAAAATTGAGCGTTGAATAAAAACCAGTTTCAGCTGTGTATGCTTTTAGTAAATACTCGGAATCTTTTTCATGTATTACTAATAGAAAAAAAAATGTTTTATTGTATCGAAAACATCAATATCGTACAATTCGTTTTCAAGATAGTTTTCTTTTATGTAAACGATTATTTTATAGAACTATGGATCTTTCCCATGAATTTTCCATCTGCTTTTAAATACCCGCGAACTTGAAAATCAGCATTATCGGTAGAAAGAATCCATTCAATTGAGTTACTGACAAAACGAGTATTATTCATACGACGACGAATTAAATGCTTTATTGTGTCAGTCTTAGCTTCATCGAGTGGGGTACAATGGTATTTATTTAATTTAGAATGGCAAGCACCCTTTTCTAGTAACAAGTGAACTATTTGCTTGCGTCCTCGATCAGAATCAACATGAAGAGCAATCGATACATTTGATCGGCTTCCTCCAAAGATATTGTTTGCAAATAATGTTTAACAAAGGATGTGGATGTAGGTTTGGTTTGGATAGTCGGTGGTTGTACATGTTTTGTGGTATGATTGAAGAGGAGAGTCGACGCCCATATCAACAGCTTCACAAAAAAATGTTCTACCTGCTAAATTTGTATTTCATTATTAACTAGGACGCGGTCAGCGCAGTAACTCATACATGTTTATGGTGGATAATTTCAAGGAAACATTGAACAATTAACAATGAATAAAAAAAATATCCTACTACTTTACGAACCCACCATATGTGTTCGAGATCTTCGAACTGCATTAGTCAAAAAAAAAGAAAAACTAAAAGATCACTGATTANCTTTGAAAGGTCGTTTCTGTATCAATTTAGGTTCGGATGCAGATGGAACTTTAGATCCATTTGAAGTTGATAGCCTGAAAAATATGTCCAAAATTATCTTTTCAAAAAAAAATATCTCTTGAAATGATAGAACACAAAGATACTTCTCATAAACTTTTTTAAATGAACTCTTAAAATCAATATGTGCTGTGCTTTATTTCTTTTTATAATTCATAACATTAGGGATAATGCTCATTAATAATCAAGAATAAAATTTATCTACAACATAAAAAATTTAAAAAAACGCGTCATCAACATCCAGTTATTTTCATATTCGTTGTCATGGCTTCCGATTGAGAGAGATTTCAAATCTGGACAAAAAAGTTTATTCTTCTATATTGAAAGTAAAAATACGTGAAGGAAGGATTAGAATAATGGAAAGATGGTCATTTTAGTAGCAAGAGCTCCGACCAACAGTAGTTTTAAGACATATAGATTGTCAGCATGAGTTTGATTGTGGCTCTTGATCTTGTCTTTGCCTACACACAAGTCGGAACCTCCACACTCTCTCAAGCGCGTAGATGATGGACAGCTCCTACTGATAAGTACACTTAATGCGAGAAAAGAAAAATCAACAGCTACTATTCTATCTCGAGTTGGCAACTGTATCTGTATAATGCCATCCATATCAAACATTGTATTTTGAAACAAGCACGAAAATAAGAGTTGATTTATTAACTTCGTAGTAGAGCACACCATCGCCAATGGCTGAAAGTATGACGACTAGAAATTCCCAATGCAACAATGTGGACGACGATAAATCGATTGAACCCATCGGTAGAAATATGGATATGAAAAAATTTCAAATACCATAGTTGTTGAAGAGGAGATGTTCAATTGATTCAGATCATCCTACGAGTAGTAAAGGCAGAACACATTTTTAAATTTCATCCCACTTGCGGTATTAGAAAGATTAACAAAAAAAATCCTATTAATAGAGTTTGAGACACTGAATTCCATTGCGTTGCTTTAAATTTTCAATATCTGAATATTGAACAGATTTGTCAATTGATGCAAATCTTAAAATTCTCATCTATAGTGTTTGCACATACCTTTTACACTGTATTAGTTCAAGAAACGAAAGCTACTGACCTCAAGTGAAATCATGATAATACTATTTTCAACGAATGATTTAAACAGTTTTTTGACTGCTATCAATCACGCTTTTGTTGAGAAAATAGTAACATTAACGTCAAAATTCACAGCAAATTTGAAATCAAGAGGCTTTACAGTGTGGCTGTCAGTTTTGAACGAAGGCTCGAACGTACATCCAGACCCATATAATTATTAGGTTTCATCTAGTACAATATGTTAATTTTTCAAATACAAAAATAAATAAATGATACCATCATCTACGGTAAAATTCTAGTTTTCCCTAAAATGAATTATTTTCTTTTCAGTTTTCATTAACACTGTCATCTTCGAATTTCGAATGATGATCTGCCAATAACTGTACAAATTCATTTTCGTATTCGTCCATGATCAGAATCATTGTAGCGTTCATTATTTGACTATCATTCTTATCAAAATCTGAGTGTCTATCGTCATAGAGAAGTACAAAATATTATTCCTCTATGTTGAGATATGAATGTGAGTGGGTGGGTGTTTCTTTTCACGAATACAAATGGACCACCCACACCCAACATATGTTTATTGATTATCACAGACCGTCAAGTTATTTGATCGAAAGCTAAATAAAACACATTGACATAATAGTACTCAGATCCATACCTTGCAACCGTGCCGACTAGATAACTTCATTTTCTCACTATCACCCTCTTCTTTTTCATCGTTCTGAAAAATATCTAAACTTAAGATTACATTGAACATACTGGAAATATTATCCACAAGAACATATACACATAGCTAGCACCAAAACACGCCGTACTTCTTGAAAAACCTATTGATGCTATATCAAATCGATTGACATAGTTAATATCTAGAATGCTAAGCAGGAAAAAAGTGATTTTAGCAGAACTACCTGTTCGATCTAAGGCATATATTGGGCATTGTTTGTAATTGGAATATGTCAAATCAGTAACGCTTTTACTAAAGCATTGAATCTCATTTCTTACCGTTTTTTTATCTGTATGCCTACAAACATCATTATAAGTGACGATCATCGAGAACACGAGTATTCTTAGAGTTGCATAAAGTAATTGCTATTTTGCAATGCACTGTTCTCATATCAACAAAAGACAGTGCATTTTTTTTATTAAAAGCAATATAAAGAAAACAAACTTTTCTATTAAAAATTAAGACGTTGATTAGGAATCCCGTCTACCATGGTTCACATTCTTTTAATTTTATTTCAACTTTTGTTGAAGTATCTTTGTTTTCTTGAATATCGACTATTTTGAACACTGAATATGCACGAATTAATAGTTCTTTTTCATCGTCAAATAGCTATAAATGTTCAATATCCAATCCAGTTCTTTGTTTACGTATCTCATAAGTACATTTGGTACTTAACCGATTGTCTCTATCATTGTTATAGCGAAGAAATCTTAATGCTACGTTGAAGTCCTTTTATGTTGAAGAAAATGTTTTTGTTAAAGTCTTTGTAAGTATCTTGTATGGTTTTATAACGTTGTTGGTAGTAACCATACTATGAAATACCACTCCAACATAGGAAAGTATTTCAAATTTTGGATGGCAAGCGATAATTCCAATAAACTATGCTCGACTAAGATTCTCTTTGGCAGTCAGAGTTTTAAGTTGTATTTGCTATAGATGAAAATTGAGCGTTGAACAAACACCAGTTTCAGCTGTGTATGCCTTTAGTAAATACTCGGAATCTTTTTCATGTATTACTAATAGAAAAAAAAATGTTTTATTGTATCGAAAACATCAATATCGTGCAATTCGTTTTCAAGATAGTTTTCTTTTATGTAAACGATTATTTTATAGAACTATGGATTTTTCCCATGAATTTTCCATCTTTTTGTTTAAATACCCGCGGACTTGAAAATCAGCATTATCGGTAGAAAGAATCCATTCAATTGAGTTACTGACAAAACGAGTATTATTCATACGATGACGAATTCAATGCTTTATTGTGTCAGTCTTAGCTTCATCGAGTGGAGTACAATGGTATTTAGAATGGCAAGCACCCTTTTCTAGTAACAAGTGAACTATTTGCTTGCGTCCTCGATCAGAAGCAACATGAAGAGCAGTAGATACATTTGATCGGCTTCCTCCAAAGATATTGTTTGCAAGTAATGTTTAACAAAGGATGTGGGTGCAGGTTTGGTTTGGATAGTCGGTGGTTGTACATGTTTTGTGGTATGATTGAAGAGGAGAGTCGACGCCCATATCAACAGCTTCACAACAAAATGTTCTACCTGCTAAATCTGTATTTGATTATTAACTATGACGCTGTCAGCGCAGTAACTCATACATGTTTATGGTGGATAATTTCAAGGAAACATTGAACAATTAACAATGAATAAAAAAAAATATCCTACTACTTTACGAACCCACCATATGTGTTCGAGATCTTCGAACTGCATTAGTCAAAAAAAAAGAAAAACTAAAAGATCACTGATTACACTCTTTTTCAGTATGAAGAGAGTACCTCGTTCGGTTCGCTCTGTTGTTTTCTGTTCTTTTGCTTATTCTCAAAACAAGTGTACCATGCTTAAAACTTTCATTTGTTCTGACATGAACATGAGATAGAGAGAAAGCGTAAACAGAAATAGCTGAAGAGAAAACTCAGTTGCTTAGTATTTTTAATGGATAACACCAGATGAAAGATAAACAATGTATTTGACTCAATATTTCTTACTGTTGGAATTACTGCAAGAGTGAATGGATTTAGAATTTCGACTCGAATTGCCACAATAGGGTGTCGGTGTGTGGATTAAAGGCAACCGAACCCAAACGTATAACCACACTCGCAATGTGAGCAAAACAATAATTAAACTAATATATAAACATACGGAGTTCAAAAACTTATCCATATAAACAGATGAATTACGAGAAATCTCATACGAACGAATAAATAATATCTTATCGATTTGACATAATGATACATATTCCACATACTAATGGAAAATCATAACAAATTTCATTACTAGACCCGAATCCCTCCATTACGTGACTAGGATGTTCTACAGGTCCTAGATTCTAGAAGACGATTTTCCTTTATATTAGACATCCGTTATCACTGATTTCTTAGCGGATGTAGGAAAAAATACCAATACTTTTTGGTAAAAAAAAGATTTTTTGCAAGAATTATTTATTTCACGTTCAATATTTAACTTAAGATCATGAAAATATCAATAAAATTCATTTCTTAAATAATCTTCTTATGATAAACTCATTTTCTTTTTCTTTTTCTAATAATAGAAGCGTCAAAGCGTAAATTAGTTCAAAAAATGTTCTATTCCATCTACGCAGAAGTTTTTCAGACAAGAAAAATAATAGTAGAAAATAAAATACAGAAAAACAAAAACGATATAGATCGTAGATGTAGTCAAATTTTACATCTTCTTTCTCCTCTCATGAATGGAATACATCTAAAAATAAATATAAGTTATTAAATTATTTGTCTTTTATTCATGTTCAAGTTTCATCTTATCCCTAATTAGAAATATTGTTTACTGACAACATCTGAATTAGCTGAAAAAGAACAAGCATTATTAAGTATAGCTAATAAAAGAAGGACGTAATTCTGTACCTTTAACACAAAAAGAAAATGATTGTGCAATAATTGTATCACCGAGTCAATTATTGAAAACTATTGTTGGTACATTTTTTATTTCATTTTCAATAATTATACAATTTCTTCTATTTTCACAGCCACCGGAATTCAATTTCGGTGAAGTTTGTGTTACTGCACTTGTGACAAAATTTTTATCTGTACTTAATAACCTTGATCAGTTTTTTATCTTTCAAATAGACATGTCTTTTTTTGACTTCTTTTGGAAACTTTTTTTTCTAACAATATTTCATTTAGATCGATTCAGATACATTAAAAATGGCAAAACCATTATCTCAATTTATACGAGTAACATCTCATGTACAATTTCCAATAACATTTGAACCAACACAAATTGCTCCTTATCAACGTTCACTATCGTTTCTAATTAATAATTTTTATCGGCATTATGTTAAAATTATAGTTGATGTTCGTTTACCAATTGTACAATTATCAGCAGAGAAACTTCTTAGACGTTCATTACCACATATTTTAGCTGAAGATTCATTTCGAAAAGTTGTTAATTTATATAATCCATTAAATGTCTCGACTGAATTTCGTTGGATTCCAATTATTGGTCCAAAAGGAACAACATTTTCAATTCGTCTAGCAGCAGGTCTTTAAATTTTATTTTAATTGCGAAAACCAAACTTCTTTTAGGAATCATTGAATTAAACCATATCAAACTGTTGATAGTGAGGTTGTTTGGTATGGTCGCACTCAAGCACAATTGGAAAAATGTTTTACTCTACATATTTTTTCCACAGATGGTTCCCGAAAATCGCCAGCAAAAGCAAATTCCTTACTGTCAAGTTATGAAGCCAAATTAACACTTCATTGTATTGCTGAAGTTGGTAAAGTAAAATTCAAAATTATAGAAAATCATGTTAATTTTGGATCGATACTAATAAATATAACATTAAAAGAATCATTCACAGTTATTAATGAAGGAACAAATCATCTTTTTTCTTATCAAGTATTAAATCGTTTTATTGGATATTTTTTTGTGAATCAGAAGAAAAATTGTTTTTTTTTTCGTTAAGATTACTGATTCAAATCCATGTGCAGGTATTTTTGTAAATCCAGCAAATGAACTTCTTTCAGCTGATTCACAAACAAGTATTACCGTTGAAATAGCACCAATGAAATTCGATATTCATTTTAGCCTAAAATTTCCTGGATAACATGAACAAGAAATTCGCATGACACGTGAAGTTATCGAACCAAATTTAAATATTCCTGAAAGTGAATTTAATTATGTTGATGTACGAATATTCATGAAAATATCAACACAATTTCATATTGAAAAACTTAGCAGTGTAGTACCTTCCGCTGCTGAAATGTGGTACTCACACCTTGTAGTTCTAAATTTTGATATATAATCATGGGTTATAAAATAATTTATTTAAAAAAAAGTGAAATAAGTGAATGCATAAAAATTACAACTATTTTTAAAGTTGATATGCACGCACTGGAATTGTATCACTTGGAAAATGGTTGCATTCATGATTACCTTTTCTTTTAAAATTTATTCGATTTATTTAACATCATTATATTCAAGCAAAGCTTATTTACGTCATCAGATACATTTTCAATACCTAATTTCTTTTCTCCTAATAATAATATATATGATACATGTCATATGAAGCGATAAATATCAATCTACTCTTCATTTCGTCTAATCAACTGCCACATTAACATGTTATAAACATCGATTGAATCGTTCACTAAGCTTTCAAACACATGATTTTTTTCTCTTGACGAACTTCGACATGCACTGTTGAGTTTGACCTAAACTCAGAGTTCAATCTTATTCTGACTTTATTCAATAAATAATATCACTGTTTCACTGACTGGCACCTTCGATAAGATCGTGTTGCTGAAAGGTCAATATTTAGAATAGTTGGAGTCTGTAGAACTGCAAAATGATTTAATTAACTTTATTAATTACGTATCTTCCCTCGTTTCTGTGGGCACCCATTCAATAATCTTTGAGTGTGCCTCCACTCCGGTTGCTAAGGAAATCTATCCAAAAAAATTTCATTTCGCGCCACATCGTTACTGAGACCTAGCGAGGGGTGAGCTGCAAAACCTCGATTTACAATGTACACTCACTGTTTTCTTCGAAAATATACGTGAGTTCCACAAATTAAAATAGTCATAAGAAAAACGTACTTTAAAAATTGATTCTATTCTCTAAAGATTTGTTTTTTTACTAACTAAAAACAAAACAGTTTCGACGAAATGAGATCCGACTTTGAAGTCAACGACTTTTTTCTTTTGATTTCAATTAAATTAATTAATCACAGCAAACATGTTTTTTTTTTTATTCTTAAAACAAAAAAAATTACAAAATAATAATTTTAGCCACTCTTTATACGAAGACATTTATCTGGCCGAAAATGTTTTTTAACACAAATATTTGGATAACAACAACGAAAAATACCAAATTTACATCGGACACATTGGCCTGGTGATTGTGATTCATTATCATCATATCCTTGATTAAATGTACTTCGTTTGGACATAAGATTATTATCATCGATGAAATTCAGATCATTATTTTCCATATCCGATAGGACAACAGTTAAAAACAGACCAAGAAAGAAAGAGATAATTAATATACTTACTAGCTTCATGGTTAATAGTGATTGAGATAATATCAAGAAAAAAAAAACTAGCGAGTATTAATATCTATAGCCATCCAACGCTTTTCAATTAACACTTAATCAATAGAATAAATTTATTAGGTGATGACAGGGTAGATAACAATTTGAAAGAATATTGCGTCGAAAAATATGCATTTTTTTCAGAAATCTAGACAAGTTGAATCAGTACACAGAGAATAATTGAATATATACCAGTTGTTTGAGATATTTACGTATATATAGTAATCATCACTAGTTGTTTTTTGATAAAATAGGGTTAAAATGTTATAGATTTATACGGATATATATTTAGTAAACATCGTAATATGGAAAGATAATATGCGTAGAAAACAGTTCGATCAAAGTTAAAATTCTTTTGATGATATGTTTCGTTTTGTTTAACGAATAATAAGATTTAATTGAAAATTACAAATGAAATTTAACGACAAATTCAACTTGTTTGCTACATATGATTCTATTCTTCTTTTTCTATCGAGTATAATATTAATAACATGTGCGGAGGAATACATACACTTGAGAATATGGTCAGTTGACTTAATTTCGAATGCTGATGAATCGTAATAAATACTGCTCATGTCGCAAAAATCGCCGCGATTTTGAGAGAAACCGGCATAAAATCGCGCTTAATCGTATTTCGCTAAAAAATTAGTGATTATAGAAGAAGAACTGATTTTCAAAAATCGGTAATAAATCGAAGCGATAAAGTCGTGTTTAATCACCGATTTTGAAAATTAATTATGAACTATGAGTAAATTGAAGAAATATCTCAATCTTTAGCAAATCCGAAAGTCAAATATCATTTCTACACAATTATTTAAAGTAATTATGAAGATTTCATTTTGTTATGGATGTCATCACTGTGACATAAATAAGATTGAACAATTTGAAGATACGATCGAATTGACGCTCTGTTTATATTCATTTATTCTGAAAAATTGATTTGAATACTGTATCCTTTATTTCATACGTGTTTTTAGATGAAAGGGTGTGGGTGTGGGTGGGTGTGGAGTGTGGGTGTGGGTGTGAGGGTGTGGGTGTGGGTGTGGGTGTGGGGGTGTGGGTGTTGGTGTCTAATGAATATTGCATCCACACCCACACCCTGTATTTTTTTCCTCTCCTCTAGGTCCTGAACCAAACTATATTCATCGTTCTCCGGGGTGGATGCGTGTATTTTTTTCCTCTCCTCTCGGTCCTGTACCAAACTATATTCATCATTCTCTGGGGTGGATGCGTTTATTTTTTTTCTCTCCTCTAGGTCCTGAACCAAACTATACTCATCGTTCTCTGGGGTGGATGCGTGTATTTTTTCCCTCTCCTATCGGTCCGGAACCAGACTATTTTCATCGTTCTCCGGGGTGGATGCGTGTATTTTTTTCCTCTCCTCTAGGTCCTGAACCAAACTATATTCATCGTTCTCCGGGGTGGATGGGTGTATTGGATTACAGGATTTACTGCTGTCGACTTTACTGCCGTTGTAAATATTTATTTACAAAAAGGAACTTTATTTTTGCAGTTTAAATCATCAGTTTTCGTTCTTGGAATATAAGTTATACGATTAAGTTAGATAAATCTGATGATCACAGTAATTCTCTATGCCAAAGGTTTATTTCTCATCTCAAATGTTCGTGAAAATACTGGAAAATCTATCTCTAGTTCCTAATTTTTTTCTGTTCCTTGTCTCAAAGGTTCCATTTTCGTCTTATAACGGCTGATCGGAAAGTTTTTGCACAAGATTTTTGTTCACTTTTGACTCACTTGAGAGTATTCTCAGCGAGTGAAAAGCTATTAGTTAGGACCAGAGTTTTGTGCTCTTTCCGAATATGAACTTAGAAATTTTGTGTCGATTATTTATTGTTCGAGAGTAGTAAAATCATTTTTGAAAAAGCCAAAAAATTAGTTTGGACGGAATTTTTTTCCACACATTTTTGTATTTTTGCTGTTGTGATGGGAAACTAAAAGTTGGAACCTTTATTATTATACCAACTTGAAGAGCAAAACCTATCCTACAAAATGTGCTATTTGAACTTTTTTTGTCTTTGGACAAGGCTTCTGAATTTTCGTTTTTTCCGAAATCGTCATTTTTGAAACATCGTTTTTTTGACCAAAATCGTTTTACCCGGAAAGGAGCGCTTGGAAAAATGCGTATATTTTCCCTTGGGTAAGCGCTACAGCTTAGTTTAATATCACATTTTGTAAAGAATTGATTGCTCTACAAAACTACGAAATCCGAGAATTTTTAGCATCTTTCCAAAGAGACATGTATGGGTTAACAAAACCTGCTTGTTCGCAGTTCAAACTAATTGTTTAAGCCTTTCAAAGATTCGCTCACTACTCTCGAACAAAAATGGACAGAACATTTTTAGGCCCGTATTCAGAAAGAGCACAAAATGCTGGTCCTAACTTATAGCTTTTCACTCGCTGAGAATACTTTCTAGTGAGTCAAAAGTGAACAAAAATCTTGTGCAAAAACTTTCCGATCAGCCGTTATATTCGCGTAGATTGACTTATCATCAAGCTGATATTCAAGAATTGTTTTATGAACTATTAGATTCGATTTATCCTATGAAAGAAATTGATTTTCTCAATCAGTATAAATCATAATCATGACGTATTAGAGTAGAGTTTTTTGTATTTGTGTGCAATGTACTCAAGTGTAGTGGAAATGTCAAGGGAGGAAAGGAAGACTTCTGTACTTCTCGGCACTTCTCAGTACTTCTTGGTACTTCTCAGTGCTTCTGTCTACCTCGCCAATCATTTGAATTATTTCACTATTATAAGTTAATATCAATCCTGCTGTGACTGCATCAAATTTTATTAGTTCTGATTAAATAACACTTGAAACATTAAGATAAAACAAAATCATATAGAACACAAAAAAAAACAGCGAACCCAATAAATCATAACTTTATGGAAAAAGAAATGTACTGCAGTTCTTTATAGAAGCGAACTGACCATTCTTCTGTAAATCATTGGAGCTATATAAATCTCGACTTAATGACACAATGACGAACAAAAAAAGAAGAATAGCGTACATAAGTAACTTCGAGAAATTAAAAAGTGTACACATATACAAAACTTTGTTTTAATAAAATTTAAAAACTAGATTTTGGCAATAAAAATAAACGTTTCCGAAAAATACAAAAAAGCATTTAACTACGACTTCTTTTTACATTTTGAGATTATGATTGATCACGTTTTTGAGAGTTTGTTTGAGAAACAGTTGTTGGATTACCTGAAGACTGACCAGATATGATTGACGATGCACCAGCTGAAACAAAAACAGGAACTTGTAATATAGATTGTTGTTGTATTGGCGCTGATGATGTTAATGTGGCAGCAGTCGACGACGATGAGATAATTGTTGTTTGCTAAAGTTCACACTTTTTTTGTGCTTCATTAATTTTTTTCAATGATTTAATATGCGGACAATTGGTCATGCGTAAATGTTTTTGAAAATTAGAGAGCTGTGTATTTCCATTTTTTATTGTTAATGTTATTAGTCGACTACAGTTACATCTTACACTGGCTTCAAGTTCATTTTTTTCATTATATACAACATTCAAAAAAAAAAAATCTTTTCTATCTTTTAATCAAACGTGTCAAGCTTAAAATGATCCTTGTGATTCAGACACCATAACTTTAATAAAATTAAGAAATATCTCTTATGTTCGATGATTGATGTCGATGGTACCTTTTGAAGTGATGAAGGCGTTGTTTGTGGTGTTGGTGGGTGTGGGTGTGCGTGTGGTTGTGGTTGTGGTTGCAATGCATTTCTTGACCCACACCCACATCCACAGCCGACACCCAATCGCACCCACTGCCACACACCCACGCATCCTATGTGACGCAAATCGCTTAGAATCTGCTGTTTTTCTTATTTGTCATATTGAGAAAAGGAGAATAATGGTTTATAACTTTTCTTTCTCAAAAATCATTTTCTCTTCAAGATTTGATACATTGCTTTGTCCTATGTTCGATGCTTGTATTTGAAACATATCGAATCCATCTGATAGGAACTAATTCAATGTACTTAGTGGGAAAATCCTTTAATATGGAATCAAATTTTTGAGATTTTCTCAAAATTTCTCTAATGACATCAAGTATTTTAGAACGAAAATTCTCCGTGTAATTTCAATGCGTAAGAACGCAGACCTTAAATGAAGTTCTTCGTCTTTAGGAATATTTCATTAAAAGTGAAGCGAAAATTGCTGTTATTTCTCATGAGAAGCGATATGATTCATAATTCATCGAAAATTTTTGCTAAAAGGTTTTGTCTTCACATATTCCATTTCACAATACTGTGATTTAGATACTGAAGAAGACCAATGCGCAACACTTTTCTCTATCAGACTTCTTAGTCGCTTGTTACTTTATCATACTTCTAAATATGAATTCTAATATAAAATCGAGCTCTGAAATCCGTCTAAGATTCTTAGAGATTAGCGAGTGTTATGAAAAGTTTGAGAGCTTTAAGGTTGACTCATTTGAAATATCATTCAAACAACTTATCTCTAAGAAAATATATTTAGTTGTCCTTCAATCACTATGATCGTAACATAGAATTTTCTCGCGTTTTCATTTTATTCTACATATAAAAAATGTGGCTACAACGTTCGTTTGATCGAAAGGAGATTTTCTAATGCATTTCTATTCGATCCATTTCTGACAAATCGGTATGAATAGAAGAATTCTTGTTTATCTTTAAAAATTGATGCATTGTTTTCGATATAGTGGTAATCGTGTAATATTACATTGCTATGAAATTGTCACATAAACTATATCTTAATAAATATATCACTAGACAAGTTGAAAACATTGAATCTTTATTGAATATGGAAAACTATTCCATTTATCTCGAATATCCACAAAATTAATTCATTTTGAGACTAAATTAGGCGCGC